GCACCGTGTGCTGCCCACAGCCCGACCCCCCGCTGCGTCCCCTGTGCTGCGCGTCGTGCCACTCACCCCTCCCCGGTGCTGTTCCCAGGCGTGGGCTACGGGATGATGGTGGTGTCCACGTACATCGGGATCTACTACAACGTGGTGATCTGTATTGCCTTCTACTACTTCTTTGTGTCCATGACGCGCGTGCTGCCCTGGACGTACTGCAGCAACGCCTGGAACACGCCCGACTGCGTGGGGGTGCTGGACGGGAACCTCTCCAGCCGCGCCGCCCTCAACCTCACCCGCTTCCTCAATGCCACCCAGAAGCGCACCAGCCCCAGCGAGGAGTACTGGAGGTACTGGGGAAGGGGATGGGGACGAGGGACGAGGGAGGCGGTGATGGCGGGGCCCCGCTGACGCTGGCCGCCCCTCTGCAGGAGGTACGTGCTGGACCTGTCGGACGACATTGGGAACCTGGGCGAGGTGCGGTTGCCCCTCCTGGGGTGCCTTGGCGTCTCCTGGGTCGTCGTCTTCCTCTGCCTCATCAAGGGCGTCAAGTCCTCGGGGAAGGTACCCTCGTGTTCCCCCTCCAGGCCCCACCCCCTCCCTCTTTAGGAGTGGTTCCAGCCCTCTGCATGCTCCTCCTGCTCTGGGAAAGGCCACACCTCTTACAGCCTGGCCACACCCTTCTGGTCCCAGCACCTCCCATGTGGCCATGGCCCTGCCTTCCCTGACCTCAGCCCCTCCCCCTGGACCATACTCTCTCGCCTCCTGGACCATTACTTCCCACTCTGGACCACAGCCCCTCCCCTGTCCCTAGCCCCACTCCATCCCAGGCCACGCCCTTTGTCGGTGTCCCCGCCCCACTGAGGTGCCACCCTGCAGGTGGTGTACTTCACGGCCACCTTCCCCTACGTGGTGCTCACCATCCTCTTCGTGCGTGGCATCACACTGGAGGGGGCCCTCACCGGCATCATGTACTACCTGACACCCCAGTGGGACAAGATCCTCAATGCCAAGGTGAGTGGGGCTGTGGGGTGGTGGGTGGCTGGGAGGGGATGGTGTGGCTGGGGGACACAGCACTGACCACCCCTCTGCCACAGGTGTGGGGTGATGCGGCCTCACAGATCTTCTACTCACTGGGCTGTGCCTGGGGCGGGCTCATCACCATGGCCTCCTACAACAAGTTCCACAACAACTGCTACCGGTGAGTGCCCAACTGCAGTCCACCTGCTGTCTGTGGGGCTCCACCGCCGACACCTGTCCCCCAGGCCTGCTGCCAGTCCTGACCCCTTCTCCTCACAGGGACAGCATCATCATCAGCATCACCAATTGCGCCACCAGTGTCTATGCTGGCTTCGTCATCTTCTCCATCCTGGGCTTCATGGCCAACCACTTGGGTGTGGATGTCTCCAAGGTGGCTGACCACGGCCCCGGCCTGGCCTTCGTCGCCTACCCTGAGGCCCTCACCCTGCTCCCCATCTCGCCCCTCTGGTCCATCCTCTTCTTCTTCATGCTTATCCTCCTGGGGCTGGGCACTCAGGTACATTATGGAGAGGCAGTGTGGTGGAGACCACCATGCTGGGGTGGGAGTAGCACAGTGGTCCCAGGTGGTGTCACGCTGCCCCCTCCACCCCTATGTGCAGTTCTGCCTGCTGGAGACACTGGTTACGGCCATCGTGGACGAAGTGGGCAACGAGTGGATCATCCGCAGGAAGACCTTTGTGACGCTAGGGGTGGCCGTGGCGGGCTTCCTGCTGGGCGTCCCACTCACCACACAGGTAGGTGACCACGGGACTGTGGTGACAGGGTGCCTTGTGCCTGGGCCACTGCCATGGCGAATATGCTGCCACCATCAGCCAGTGTCCACACTGTTGCCATGACCACCTCAGTGGTGACACCCAGGGCCAGGTGTTGCCATGCCAACACTGGGGCTGGTATCCAGAGTAAGTGTCACCATGCCGACCGTGGCATTGGGCGTTGCCATGCCAGCCGCAGTGGTGGTATCCAGGCTGTTTGTTGCCATGCTGGCCCTGGCAGCGCACCAGCGTTGCTCTGCCAATGGTGGTGTTACCACCAGGGCAGCCATGACAATGGGTCCCTCTTGCAGGCGGGCATCTACTGGCTCCTGCTGATGGACAACTATGCTGCCAGCTTCTCCCTGGTCGTCATCTCCTGTATCATGTGTGTGGCCATCATGTATATCTATGGTAGGTGCAACTGCCTATCAGACATCAGGGCTACTCTAGCCAACCCTAGAAAGGGGGTGTGCTAGCTTCTAGCCAATCAGCGGTTTACTGCGTGCTATTTGGCAAGGCTGTTGACCAGTCAGGGCAGCTGTGACCTGAGAAGCCTGGTGGGAGCCACCACTTGACTTGGGGTCTTGAGTTGGTGCTGGGCTGGGGTGAGAGGGGGCTCAGGGTCCCACTGGGGCTCCAGCGCAGCCACACTGGGGCTGATGGCCACTTGTCCCCACAGGGCACCGCAACTACTTCAAGGACATTGAGATGATGCTGGGCTTCCCGCCTCCCCTCTTCTTCCAGATCTGCTGGCGCTTCATCTCGCCTGCCATCATCTTTGTGAGCATCATGACCCTGGGGCATGGGGCCACAGGAGGAGGGGGGACGGGCGCTCATGAGGGCCCCCCCACTTGCCCACCCTCAGGAATGGGTGCTGGGCTGCATAAGGGCAGCAGAGATGGGGGCAGAACAGGGTGAACTGGGTGGGAGGGAGGGCACAGAGCAGGCTAGCTGCTCCCCATGGGCTGATCCTGCCTGTCCCTCCCCAGTTCATCCTGGTCTTCACAGTAATCCAGTACCGGCCCATCTCCTACAACGATTATGTCTACCCTACCTGGGCCATCAGCATCGGCTTCCTCATGGCGCTCTCCTCTGTTATCTGCATCCCCATCTACGCCATCTACAAAGTGTGCCGCTCTGAGGGGGACACGCTGCTGGAGGTGGGTGGCCAGAAGCTAGACCCTGTTGCCCATGTCCCACCTGGGGCTCCACCTGGGGCTACCTGCAAGGCAGGCGCCGTGGGGCACCCCATCTCCAGGCACCCCAGGAGGCGGTGGCACGCTAGGGGAGGCTGGGGGGCGGAGCATGGAAGGTGCTAACCCTGTCCTCATCCTCTTCCCCCTCTCTGCAGCGCTTGAAAAATGCTACCAAGGCGAGCAAGGACTGGGGCCCGGCGCTGGCAGAGCACCGCAGCGGGCGCTACGCCCCGGTGCTCAGTCCCTCCACCGAGTCCCACCTG